AGAAAGTCAGTCACAATTTCAAAACAAACCCCCTAGGATTAGGAAGATGGTTCTGCAGAGATAATTTGCTTGCCACACCAGCATAAGGACCTGTGTGTGAATGCCAGCACCCACATAGAAGCCAGGCATGGTGGTATATGCCAGGAACCCCTGTGCTAGCAACAGGAGGATCCCTGGAACTCACTGGTCAACCATTCTAGCCAGATTAGCTTCGGATTCAGTGAGGAGAGACTGCCTTAAAAAATAATAATAAGGTAGACAGTGATTAAGGAAGACACTGGACATAGACCTCTGAGCCTCCACACCCATACATACTCATATGTGGACATTCACAGTCACCAAAACCCAGAATGTCTCCCACTATCCAGTCCTTATGCCTGCACTCACACATGAAATAAAGGTGTTTAAATGGCCATTTAAAAAGACCTATGAATGCCCTCTACATGGTAAGTGTGAATACACATTAAATTGCAAGTTCATTGGCCTGGCAGCAGGAAGCTGGCTGGTCTGAGAGCACTGCCCAGTCTATTCTGGTCTCACTGCTCTTCCTGTAAGAGCAGGCCACAGGACAGAACTCTCATGTGCCAAGTTTTGGGTTTGTCTTTACTGATTAAAATGTGTTATTTCACAATGAAGGCAGAGCCTCCCACAGACTCCTAACCACAAACCACAAAAGAGGAAGAGAGACTTCATATTAGTTGCGGCACCAAGATGATGGACAGAAAGCAACCTAAAGAAGGAGGAGCTTGTTTTGCTTGGTGGTTTGGGGGAGTAGTCTGTCAAGAGTGCAGGAATATAAGGCTGCTTGCACACATCACAGAGGACCAGGATCAGAGGGAAAGGCATGCCAGCACTTATTTCACTTTCTCCTTATCCTCAGTCTGGGACTAAAGCCCATGCATGAATGATGCCATCCTTGATCATGGTGAGTCTGCCTCTCACATAGACACACCCAAAGGAATACCTCCTAAGTGACTCTAAATCCAGCCAAGTTGACAGGGAAGGCAAACCGTCCCAGAGCCTAGGATGTGTCTGAGAGGTGTGATCACCACTTTCTATTACTTAAACAACGCTACATGTAAATATTAACAGGAACTGCTGATCAAATGGAGATGTGCAGGACCAGACACCACCTGGCTGGCGAGCAGCACATGCTGAGAGAATAAAAAACTTACATCAGTTTCATTATAATCAAGTTTATCGATAAATGCCTTAATTCTGGGGATGAAAATGACAGTATCAAAGTCTACTTCTTCCCTCCCTCCCACCACCCAAGCTGATGCCCAGAGCTCAGGCTGCTTTGAACTTAGAAGTTCAAGTGAATTTGCCATGATTCCATGGTGGAGCTGATTGTGCAATTCAAAGAGCTGTGGTCCAAATGAATAGGACTCATGGGGTACACTTCAACACACCGCACCTACAACTAGGGTGATCCCGCCAGGACCTGCCGTGAGACCCATTGTTTTGCCACAAAAAGAGCCTCTGCTCATGATGGGTTTCTTGAAAGGGTTTTTGAAAGGAAAGCCAGGGCCAGCCTGTCTCTGCCCAGTACCCTCAGTGTGTGCTCCTAGTACAAAGGACGCGCTTTACACTGGAGGCCTGCACACCTAACTGGTCCTTCTGCCCAGTCCCTACACCAGCACTGGTCTCAGTGACTCTGCCAGGATCTCACAAAACTGAAGTGTCACACCTTGCTAAGATTGATTGTGTTACCCTGTCTTGAAGAATTGGTGTGAAGGAAGGGCCGGCAAGATGACTCAGCAGCTCAGAGATCTGGCTGTGCAAACCCGAGTTCAGTTCCTGGAACTCACTGCGGAAGGAGAGTAGAGTCTTCCGACCTCCACATACACACTGAGAAATGTACACAGACACATAAGACACACAATAATAAATTTTAAAGAAAAAAATTGGGGTGCAAAAATATACCTTTGATGTTCTTCTATGATTATGTTTATTTGCATGTGTGTGCGCGAATATATTTGTAGACGTGTACACATTTACATGTAAGTGTTCCTGTATGGATTGTGTATGTTGTATTCATGTTTGTGTGTTTACATGAGCGTGATACTGGGGGTGGATATTGAGCACATTCAGCCACTTTCCACCATATATTTTGAGACAGGATCTCTTGCTGAACCTGGAACTTGCCAAATTTTACTTAGACTAAGTCTGGCTAGCAAGTCCCCAGGATCAGCCTGCCTGTCTCCACCTTCTCAGCAGTTAAGACCATAGGGTCACACCACCATGCTGCTTTTTACATGGAGTTGGGATCAAACTCGGGCCCTTCATGCTTGCATGGCAAACTCTTTACCAAATGAGCCCTTTCCCCAGATTCCACCACCATTATCTCCAAGAAAGGTGATCATGACTCCATTCTCGAGACAAAGCCTTTTCAATTTTGCCCAGTTCTACATCTTTCCACCTCATGGGTTCCAACTCCACACTAGAGGGTCCCTGAGGGCCAGCACAGGCTTTATTTGCTTGTACAAATAAAGCCTGTCTGGGGGTCAGAGAATGGAGCTTGCCACTAGCTAACCATAGAGATCTGTATAGACAGATAGGAAGTTAGGTAGCTGGGCAGAGGCAGGATATAAACAGAGAGAAACAGGAAATCATTCCCTTGTCAGATCTGGGGTCAGATCTAGAGGGAAATGCTGAGAGATCAGAGAGGAGCAAGCCACAGCACACTTTACCTCCTTAGTGTCTCAGCAGACAAGAGAGCGAGTTCCTGTTTCTCCCTGCTTATATCCTGTGTTTGCCCAACTACCTCACTTCCTGTCATCTGTATAGACCTCCAGACCTCTACGGTTAGCAAGTGGCAAGCTCCATTCTCTTACCCCCCAGACAGGCTTTATTTGTACAAAGAAGATATCACCACAATTGTGTGGGGGAGAGTAGAAGTAGTCTACTAATCTAAGAAGGCTGCCTCAGGAAGCTGCCTCACCACCACCAGGCCCTGCACCTCACAGCTGGGCCCAGAGGATCTCAAAGACCCCTAGAGATTATTTGGTGGTCCCTGACTTCCAGAGCACAGGACCACAGGGGAGGTAGCCCAGCAGGGCACAGCTAATGTCTAGAAGGATCCTGGCACATTTCTGTCAACGCATCAAGGAACAGCTGAGTGGTGTTCCTTCTGTTCTGAGTCACCAGGGACAAAAGCGCCTGCCTCTGCCTTCTACCTACCTGTCACTTGGAGTGTCTGTTAGCAGTGACGATTGGCTGAGAGGACTGCCCCAGCTCCTTCAACACTAGAGTGTCAGAGAGCGGGAGGCATGGGTGGGAGCAGTGGGCATAAGTAGTAGGAAGGACGTGAACCTCTGACTGGCTACTGAGTGCTGGCTACTTCATGCTAAGAGGCCAAGTGTGGGCACACGTGCACATGTGTGCACGTCTCCTGTGGACCCACTTGAGAGCCTATGTCTGCGTGTGGCATAGAGTAGATTAAAAGCCCATGATCAGGGCTGAAAGTAAAGTTCAGTGGTAGAGCACTTGCCTAGTAAGAAAGAAAAGAAAGGGGGAGGGAAGAGAGAAGAGGGAGCTGAGGAAAGCTGAGCTACTCTAATCTGAGCTACAGACGAGAATGGGACCACTACACCCTGCACAAGTCACTTATCACCTGGGTGTGGTCTTCCTAGCATCTCTTCCAGGAGGTCTATTTTTGGAGCGAGTGGACTGACAAGCTGCAGAGACCACACAGGGTCTCAGTGGCAGGGAACAGTCAGAGTCCTTTATGCCCTAAGCCACCAGTGTTAGTGATGTGTGCTCACTGGCAAGTACTGGGAAAACAAAGCCTGGAAAGAGCCAGGGTCGGACTTTGCTTCCTTTGGTTAACATTAGAGATGTTCAGATTTCATCACAGCTCCCAGTCTAAATGGTTCAGCAAAGTTCCAACTTTAAGAAAAAAAAATAACTTTTGTGTAGACCGAGGCAGGAGTGAAGGCAGTGGGGCTGAGTTCCCTGGCTCTGGACTGACCCCTTGTTTCTTCCACGTGTTTGCGTATATGCTAAAAGTACACGAGTCTCACATGCTGGTGTGTGTTGTGACTGTGCCTGGTGGGTTGGTAGCACCATCTGAGAACACCGAAGTTCCTCAGTAAATAGGAATCTGTGCACATTGAAAGGCACTTCCAACCCTGGGGATCAGCGGAGGAGTGTGTCTCTCTCTCCCAGGCCTTAGGAGGCCGAACAGTCTGGCTCCTCACCAGAGGGCCTGGTTAAAGCTGTGGTTCTGGTTCAGCCTCTTCCTGGATGGATGGAGGCTTTCCATCAGGACCAAGGCTGGATACAAAGTGGTGTTCCAGCAGCTCGCTTTTTCAAGTAGATAACTTCAAAGGTTACTGTTTTGAGAACCAGCAGTCCTCTTGGGAAGAGAAGATGAAAGACTGGCTACACAGGGTGTCACTAGCTGAGATACATCCCCCAGGTTCCTTGGTAGCTATGTTTAGTCCTGTTCTTTAAGTATGCATCAGTTTTCTCCTGTGGCTTCATGTGACCTGTGCCTTTCCCTTCCTCGATTTCAGGAGTGCTGTTCTCAGGGCGGTTTTCAAGCACATGTACCCAGCTGCCCCTGCTCATAAGTTTCCCATGGCTCCCACTACCAGGTCCATGGACATCCCCCTAACCCTGATCCTCCTGTACAAGCTCTCCTTGCTTCTCAGCACAGCCCCCACACTGACCTGGCCCCTGGGTCCTCTCCGTCCCAGGTAAATACTACAGCCCTTGTAGTAGGCCTTGTTGCATACATATTTTTTCCTCACCAGTTTTGTCTGGCTAAATGTGTGCTGACAGAGATCTGTCTCTCTTCTCTCAAAGATCACCCTTGCTCGAGTGCATGCTGCAATTCCTAACACAGTGCTGAGGCTCGGTCCCCAGGTGGGGGAATCTCACACACATCTCAAGCCAGAAACAAAAGCTAGAATAGTTGTCGTACCCCACACATCCCTGGCCTGCCACGGGCCAGTCCTAGATCGCAGGCCCCTGACTCTGTGTGTCCTTTTCAGGCTTACATGGAAGACCATCTGAAGAATAAGAACCGACTGGAGAAGGAGTGGGAGGCACTGTGTGCCTACCAAGCAGAGCCCAACACCTCGCTTGTGGCCCAGAGAGAAGAGAATGCATCCAAGAACCGTTCCCTGGCCGTACTGACCTGTACGTACCTAGCCTGCCTGGGTGACCTAGCAGGGGGAGAGGAAGTGGGGACATCTGGCTGTGATTTACTCCACCCGTCTTCACTGTCTGCCAAGCCCCTCAGCTCTACTCTATCTCTGTCTGCTGGAGCTGAGCCCACACTGAAGACCAGTGTCTGGTTTCCCCTGGCAGCCATCCCATCCCCAAAAGCCATTCCCCTGTTGATCCAGTGGTAGAGCCCCCGAGATGCCAGCTGGGGGCATAGAAGCCATAATGGGAACTAACCCTGTTTGCTCTAGCGTAGAAAACCTATGGGATGCTATGTGAAATGTTAATGCTAATGCATCTCAGCTTAGCATTAACAGTGGTCACTGGTGTCACCGGTACGATGCTGCCACAAGACCTTGAAGGCTTCAGTCTAGTTGGGGGGTCACTGCAGTCCCGAAGCGACTCCATTGGAGAAGGACTTAGTTTCCTACTGTGAACATAAGATACATACACTAGGTGGCCATGATACAGATACAGAGCCTCTGGTGTATAGACTGGGTGTGTGCCCGGACCTCCTCCACATCACTGGCCATGGGTATTCACAGGTCCTTCCTAGGCCAAGTTTAGATTTTGGCTAACATATGAGCCCTCCCAAGGAAGCCCTCAGCGACCAAGGTCCCCCCTATGAATGGGCACTTAATAAACGCTGGTCTGTTGATTATGAGTAATGAATGAGAATAACTCAGCTACCCATCTACCTCAAGACAAGAGGTACTTGTTCATATCTCAGAAATAATAAAATGAGCTTTGCTAGCCTGGTTTTGAGAGCCTAGCAAAGGCATGCTAGCCTCAGGTTAGCATTGAACAAATGAGGATCCTTGATGAGATATCAGAGAGCACCTGGTCACTGAGCCCCCACCTGGGGCTTTGCTGCATTCTGCCCAGGGGCACCTGGGGACTCTCATCTTAATAGCAGAACACTATAGCACCTGCTTTAGCCAGAACCCCTTGGTTGCACCTTAGAGTAAATGTAGGAGTTTGGCCTGAGCTTCAAGGCCGGGAGCTGTGTGCTAAAGTCACACAGAATGGCGAGCCCTTAGAATCCAGACCATCCTCCTATGTGTGGACATTTGCCGGAGAGAAGCTGGCATTCCAATCTCTGCTTCCATGGGGTTAGATCATGTTCCCCTTTAGACAGCCATGATCAGAAACTGTTGCAACTTGCAGACTTTCCATTTAGAAGAAAGGTAGAATAAAGCACGACCCATCAACAAGCAGGTTTTGTTCAAGTCACCAGCTACATCAGAGAGTGTTGACAGGTGCTGGATGGTGAGGACCAGGCTGCTGTCTGTCCCTAAAGCAGAGTTGGGATGGATAGAGTGAATGGGGGCAGGGGGATGGCATAGAGGTAAAGAGTAGGAGAAAATGGACAAAGGCATCTGACTGTGCTTAAATTTGAAGTCTGTTCCTCATAATGTGCCCTCCCGTAAGGATCTGGCACCGCTGTGGCAGCTGTGGGGGAGGACCAGGGCCCTTGGGCCTCTGTGACAGACAAGATGCTCAGCCCTGTCTGCCCACGCTAGAATAAGGCGGAGAGGAAAATGCTTCCGGGCATGCCTGGAAACATGACTAGTGCCACCTCCTGGTGCCAACCAATGGGACTCTGCCACCAGCTCTCAGCTGTACCGGGTGTGAAAAGCATGAGTGCTAGCCTCACTAGGAGAGTCAGTTCCTCTAGCTACAGGAACCCCAGCCATGAGCGTTTCCCTTAGAGGCTGGCCTTTTTACTCTCCAGGCTGCAGAGACCCTCTTCCGATTTCCCCTCCTCCCTCCCAAGCAGTGTTCTCCAGCTAGGGCTTGCTGACCTCTGTTCCAGACTCTGGGGGGCGCCCTTCCACCCTGCTTCGTTCTCTCTGCTCTTTCTTATTAATGGGATTGGCCCCGCCAGCGTCAAAGGACACGGAGGGGCATTTCCCCCATGTGGCTCTGCTTGTGAGAATGCACGCTATAGCCCCCCACAGGAGGGTGAGTGACAGGAGGAGGCTGCGGTTCCCCTGCCCTCTGTACTTCCTGGTGGGGTGCCCTTTGGTGTCTAGGAACAAAACAGAACCACCATCTGTCACTCTGAATGTGTGGCCTCTCAGGTCTCCTTCATTCAGGAGGAGTGACCTTCATTCAGGCCTTCCGGCTCCCAGCCTTGGGATGCAGCCCTCCACCTGTGCCTCCTGTCATTCTTCCTCCCAGAAGCCTCCTGCACTTACCCTGTGTCCCTACGCTGTTGCAGGACAGTCTTTCTACTCTCCCCAGGATGAGCCCCACTCACGCTTTCCATCCCTGCCCCTTTGCTGGAGTGGTTCTGTCAAAACCCCTGCCTAGGCATTCCAGCACTGGGCCTGTGAGGTGGCAAGGGTGGGGGAGGAGAATCACAGGTGGGAATGCCAGTGGCAGGGTCCCCACAGCCCAGACTCTCCAGCGCCATCAAATTCCCAAAGAAGTGGCAGCCCACATTTACTAGACACCTGGCCAGCACGTGACTACCTCTAGTTGCATCTGTTGTGGGAGGTTTCTTTTCAGCCTTGGTCCCGAAGCCGCCTTTCAGCCCCAAATAAACACACGGACACTATATTAGTTATAAAACTGTTGGCCGATGGCCAGGGATTCTTACTGGCTAGCCCTCTCTTAATTATTAACCTGCAACTACTAATCTATGTATTTCTATATGGCCTTATCTTACCAGAGAGCACCTGGTGCATCCAATCCTCCCAGTTTCTATATGGCTGGCATCTCGGTCTCTCTCTACCTACCTTTCCCAGAATTCTCCTCATCTCCTAGTCTCACCTATCTTCCTGCCAAATAGTGTTTTATTCATCAACCAATAAGAGAAGCATATATACAGAAGGACAGCCCCCATTGTGCATCCTCTTGGAACTTTGAAGAACTTCATAGGCTTTTTCCAGTTTTGTGCATGGTTACAAAGGGTTATGCAATAGTTTGTCAGTCTGCTTTCAAAACCAGCAGCAGAAATATAACAATGCTATCTTGGCATACTATTTTAGATAAATGAAAGAAGATTTTGTCTCTAAATTTTGAAGAGAGAGAGAGGCATGGTGATTCTGAAGCCATGAGGAGGAATGTTTCTTGGGACAAAACCAAAGAGATTAAAGAGCTGGAGACCCAGGTGTACAACTAGGTCTGGGGCAAAGTGGCCTCCTTTCTCATGCTGGGATAGTGTTGAAAACCAATCTCTGCTGTCCTAGGGGTTGAGCAGAGGTGATGTGCAGCCAGATTGCTCCCTGTGGTAGGAAATCCTCCAAGGTCCCCTTTACAGGTACCCAATCCTCACCCTTGGCTTTTGGCATGTGCTTCCTCGACTGTGTAACACGAATAAATAAATGACCTAGAGATTGATATTGGGGTTCAAGCTTCAAGCTGAATATCAGAAAAACAAAGCAGCCGGCCACCAGCTCTCAGCTCTAGCTCAGGCTGAAGGGGCTAATCCACACACAAGCTCTCCATCAAGCCTCAGACTGTAACCTTCTCCTCAGAGTGGCTGGAGAACGAATCCCTCATACCGAGATCTTGCTTCTGTCTTATATACTTCCCTGGTGTTGGGATTAAGGGTGAGTGCTATACTTCTTTTTTAGACTGAATCACTCTTGTGTAGATCTGGGTGGCCTTGGACTCTCAGAGATCCGTCTATCTCTTAATCCTGAGTCCTAGGATTAAAGGTGTGTGCCTCTACCTCCTAGCTTCTGGATGCTGGGATTAAAGGTATGTTTCTGGCTTCTATAGCTTGGGACTGACTTTGCTTTCTGAATCCTCAGGCAAGCTTTAATAAATCATAAATAATACATCACCACACCTCAGTCCTAGCTTCCTTACACACAGAGAGAAAGAGAGTACACGTCTACATTTGTGTAGGAATCATACGGCCATGCTGGCCCACTTCCATGTTGCCATCAGGATCTGAGGTTGTTCCCCTAAAGATGGTGGTTAGCCCCGAGGATGCGAGCCCTGCCCAAGCATCCATGGTTAGTGAGTTATAGCAGAGGAGCCGTACTCAACATCCTCTCTACCAGAGAGAACTTTGTTAGATCTCAGAGATTCTGCCCCCTGCCTGGCTTTCCACACAACCTTCTCTCTTGAACTTACTTCACTATCTACTCTTTCCCAACATTTCTCTCATCTTCAAGCCACTGGTAAAAGGAGAGAGTCAGTGTGGCAAATGGTGTTTGCCTCCCTTCCTCTGTGCTGCCTGGGATTCACTGGGCACCCTCTGGGAGAGGTCTAGTTGTCGAGCCTGTGCCCGAAGTCCTAGCAATGTGAAACACTCGCAGACCCCGGCAGCTCTAGCTTGAGCTTGTCTAAATATGTACAAACAGTGTATAGCCAGTGCTAGCCAGGAATTCCCCCTATGTCTTCCTTGTGAGCTGTATAATCTGCCCAAAGTTGGAAGTTAGTCTTCACCCTCAGACGATTGCCTGCAGGACTGGCCCGTCTAACTTGCATGCTGTTTCCCAGGGACTCTCCTTACAATGCTTGGAATGGTGCCCCCACACTTCCCAATACCGTCTTAAAGCCTCCACCCCCACCCATTGAAATCACTTGGCAGTTACCCACAAACTGGCTCTAGGCTCAGGCACTCCAACTCAGCATAGCTGTGTAGTTGCCTAGGAGCTTTATTCTGGTCCAAATGATGAGTTTATTTTAGGCACAATGACGTTAAAATATATTAGCCCACCTCTAAAAATAAGGGCATTCTTATCTATGGCTGCAGCCCTGTTGTTACATCACTAAGTAATGATGTCATCTGACCTCGTTGGCTCACTCAGGCTCCGTAACAGCTGCAGACATCCCCAGCAGAGGGCCAGCAAGACAAATCCCTGCTGAAGCCACTCCTTGGCTCATAGTGTCCAAGTCTGCAGTCCCCACTGTTAAAGGACACTGTCATCTGGATCAGGTCACAACTCGATGACCTTACCACTGCTTAGCAGCCTGTGAATATCCTGTCAGTCACCGTCTCGGATTTTGGA